CAAGTAGCCCAACAGGGCGACAAGTAGCCCAACAGGGCGACAAGTAGCCCAACAGGGCGACAAGTAGCCCAACAGGGCGACAAGTAGCCCAACAGGGCGACAAGTACTAGGAGCCGACAGACGTTCCAATAATGCGGGAAGTAGCGAAAAACCTTCCCGTACCCTCGAGAACACAGAAGCCAACACTAGTCCCGAAGGCACACGAAGGCGCAGGCGCACCCGAGATCAAAAGTCACGCAGAACCCCATCGAACGGGGAAACATGACAAAAACACCGTCCCAAAAAGCGGGGGAGGAAACATCCACCCACAGGACGGAACCAACCGACTCAAAGGCCAAGGAACCGAGCCCGGGGAGGGGCCGACGTCCAACAGCACGTACGGCGAGTGGGGAGGAAAAACCCCACTCCGCGTAACCACAAGCCCCGCCTAGAGGGGGATAAAACCCCCCACGGGGTCTAACGGGGCCAAGGCCCCCCAAGTCAGCCCCTCCCCAGCCCCGGGAACCTACACGACAGGCCCCGGGGCCGAGCCGTTCCCCCAAAGCCCCGGCCGTACCAGAAAACCGGGGCAGCCGTGAAAACACTAAGGAAGGGAGCCCACTGGCAGACTCATACAACACGGCTGGAGGAACAGGCCCAAATGCCCCCGTCACTACCCCGGAAGGGGAATTCCCCGAGACTGCCCGAGTCTCAACACCACCAAACACCCCGCCCTGAACCTACAGACGGTAAGGAACCGGATGCAGGCAGGAAGGGTGAACCAGGGGAAAAACGAAATACAACGGGGCAGCCCCGGGGCTCCCGGGGAGGAAACCACGAGAACGTTGCCACCACCAAGGCTCAAGTGCAACGCCCCTGCTGCCCGCACCCGCTTTGTTAGCACAACTGGGTAACCGAGCCACAACGAGCAACCAAACTCGCAGGACACCGGGTCGAAGGTGTCACCGACCCCACAGGCAGCAGACGGAGGCAAAACAGAGAGTCACCCAGAGACAAAAGGTGAGAGCAACCCTCAAACTCGCTGGAAGCGAGGGGGGGGCTCTGGGGTCACATCCATCGGACCCGCGCGCCCCCAGGGGTTTCCCAGGGTCCCGAGCGTTTACTTTAAGAGGACTCGCGCTCAGGTAATCCCAGGCAGGGTACTGCTAACCGGCACCCAAGCTACCAAACAACTTTCTAAGAGCTGAACCCCCGGGACGTGTACACTCACGGGGACCTAGCAGGGGGTACCACCAGAAATACTCAGAACACAAGGGACACAAGGGGCAAGAACGAAGGCAGACCCCCCCACCAGGTATATAAACAAAAGAAAAAGAAAACCCCGCAAGAGGACAGCGTACCCAAGCGGAACAGAGCCGGCCGCTATGATTGGTAAAGACAAGCTGCACAGTACCCCGCGCCCCACCAGTGCAAACACTGCCCCTTACTCTAAGGCGAACAAGGGAGACAGAACACCCGAGCACACAAAGAGCGGCCGAAAACCAAGCGGTAAACGGCCAAGCAGGGGCAGGACCCAAGGAACTTGTGGAAGGTGGCCCCAAGCCCCAAGGGCAGTACTTACAGGGCACCTAGGGAAGGGAACCCTAGGCGCATGCAGCCCGAGTACTGAAGAATCACACCCGGCTCACGCACCACCTAGAAAACAGACACCACACTCTAGGTACAGTGCTGAAACAACCACTGGAGCCGGAGCACATAACCATTGCCTATAGCATCAGCCGAAGAACTGATGGGTGGATAGCCGGCGTGGGAGGTCTGGGGCTCCCCCTTCCCCCTCCCGGGGAGGGGGGAGCTGCGCAGACAGCGGCGCGGTGACGTATGACGTCATACTAGTTTCCGTGTTTTCTGTTGAAGAGTTCTATTCACTAGTTCGGCTTAGGTAGCAATTTTCACCAGAATAGGGGTTTGTTTTGGAATGCTTACCTTTCTGGATGCTTGACCCGGTCGATGGCAGACATAGAATGCTTCCAACCACACGGGGGTTTCTATAGGCCATTGCTCCCCTTGCCTCTCTGAGGGGGCCAGGTTCTGGCTCGTGGTCCCCGGTAGGCCCTAGAACTCCATACACATGACTGATGCCAAAGTCTGACATTAGCATATCAGCCGGTAAAGCTCCGGGGAGCCGACGGGGCTCCCCCCAGAAAACATACATACATATATATATATATATATATTCACTCTCGTGTTTAGGAGAGTTGTGCCTTAAGCATAGACACTGTGTCTTCCCATATTAACAGGGACTTGATGAAATAAACGTATAAATGACCCCTCACTTGCTCTAGTGCTCTTGGGAGGTGTTGATCTTTGGGGTATTTAAATACTCCGAAATTACCATCTCTTTTAAGGGTCTGAGCAGGTGGTGGAGCGGGTTAAGGCGTACCTGTTATGCCAGTTGCTGGAAGGCTTCTGTGCTGGCTAGGGTTCGAGTCTCCTGGTGGGAAAGTGTTCTAAAGTTTTTTATATATATATATATATATATATATATATATATATATATATATATATATATATATATATATATATATATATATATATATATATATATATATCTCAATTTATGATGAACTCAATTTTCTCTACTAAAATATATTTTGAATTTACTTACGAGACTGAATATGAATACTGTTTAATATTAAAAATATGAATAGAAAATGTTATGCAAGCTCTGACAGATTCACAGTGAATTATGAATAATATGGTTAAATTTTCTAATAATTTTCACATTTGACAAATTGTTCTATTGTACATGGTAGTTAAATCTCTGAGCTTAGAGGAGGCGCAGTAAAGGCAGTATGATTAAAGCCTTTAAAAGCTTTTATAGCAGCTTACGTCATGCTACTTGCTAATTTGTCCGAACAGTTTGTGCATTTTCACTTATTGCAGTTAACACTAGCATGGATAGTTAGATCAGGACATGGTGATATTGAATTAGCAGATCATGGGAAGGAAAACTTGCCAAGATAAGGAAGAGTGATTAATGCACAAGTAATGCACAAGGATATTATGTGTATAAATATTAGAACCAATTGACAAGGACCCATTTTAAATAACTGGCAAGTACAACTGACCTTGCCCACTATCCTTACAAAACACTTAAATATCTTGGCAGTAGCTATAGTTTGCAATACAATTACAATTGTTTTGATTTTACAAATTGGGTGGATTTGAGATATTGTCCAGTTGCTTGTGGCATTTCTTTCCTTTTTCCGTAAAGAGCTGTCATGACACTGACTTCTCTCTTTGCTCACCTTCTAGCCTATACTTCTCTTACATCACATGATCAACAAATTTTAGTTTAAGCTTAGAGTATGCTTCTAATGCCTATGATCACATTAGTTTTACTATTAGCAAAAAAAGCAAAGATATTTTCCTTGTTAAAAATTTCAAATATTGTTGTCTTGCTTTGTACATATTGCACATAACACTACTAGGGCTACCATACTTACCCTTCCTAATAAGCATTTTCCTGTTCTATGGTCACTATACCACACATTTTCTCTTCACTGGGCCATTAGAAGAAGCCTATTGATCAACATATTACCACAGTTTTGAGCCAACATATTGAAAGGATAATCTATTTTTATTATAAATTCAGGAATGCAAGAGGGGACAATGCTTAGTTACTGGCACCACCCAAAAACAATACTGTACTGTACCAGGAAAGCCACTTACAGCATGTGGCCCACTTAACACAGCCACAACACTTGGCCTTTCACTCATGGGAAACAGAATTAGAATTCAAATGAATAACCAAATTATTCAAATATTTGTCATCTTGTTATAGGTTTGCAGCAAATTCACAAAATTGATACATATTTAAATAAAAGGTGAATGACTGAAGTACAAAATTTTGCTGCCGACAGCTTTTAAGGACTTAATTAAGATTAAGAATAAAGCTTGAAATGTGTTACAATGTATAAAATCTTGAAAGTCAAGTAGAAGCTTTTGTAGAATCCTCATTAACTAACATTCCTTTCTGTATTTTTAATACTGGGAAATATTAATGGACATACATTAGTAAAATTCTTACAAATCTTCCCCTCATATTATGCATTAACACAAAGGGGAGTTCAAAATGACAGGTGTGTGTTACTCAAATGACTTATATAACCAAAAATATACAGTACTCTAAAGACTGCAGTATCTGGCATTTTAAGTACAGTTATACTGATCTCACTTAAATGTGATTCACCATGAGAACAAATCAGATACACCAGAAAGATTACAATCTAGTTAGTGTCTGATGCAATGTATTATGAATCCACATAAAGGAGATACACAGGTAATTGGGATTTACAGTGCTTAAAAAAAATAAAACCAACTCTGATTTTATTTACTATATTAAATGCTTAATTTTTCTACATGCTTTTTTATCAAAATATTGTATGAATAAATGTTAAAATTTGTAGTAATTAAGCACTTTATATATGACAAAGTACAAAAACAGATGCAACTGAAAATTTGATTTATTACGAGAGTTCTAAACTCATCAGTCTAGCGCTCGCACACACACACACACACACAGAGGGAAGGGCTGGTGGCTGAGTGAACAGCATGCTGGATACGTAGTCCTGTAGTCCGGGGTTCAATTCCCGGTGCCAGTGGAAAAAAAAATAGGCAGAGTTTCTTTCACCCTGATGCTCCTGTTACCTAGCAGTAAATAGGTACCTGGGAGTTAGACAACTATTACGGGCTGCTTTCTTGGTGTGTGTGAAAAAAATAAAAATAAAAAATTAGTTAGTAGTAGTTAGTAACAGTTGAGAGGCGGGCCGAAAGAGCAGAGCTCAACCCCCGCAAGCACAACTGGGTGAATATACACACAAAGGCAACTAGGTGAGTACACAAAAGCAGAAAGCTAGAAAGTTGGGGTCCAGGAGCTAAAAGCTTGATTCTGTAGGCACAAATAGTAAATAGGCACTTTATTTGTACTCTGTAAAAGTGTATTAATTTATTGTGAGTTGGCAAAAATTGAAAATCTTAGAAGCACTTTTATCCAACAGGCTCTTAACAAAAAGGAACACAAAAATGGCCTCCAGTCGCCAGACTCCCCAGACGGTGAGCACGAGTATTCTCTCACTCCCCGCACTGAGGCTAAATACAACAAGATTGATGAAGAATTTACTTTGATGATGCAGCGTAACCAGATCAATGGCAGTCGAGTAAGTTTTAATTAAGTGTATTTGATGTTCATTTCATCTTATAAATTCAGTAAAGTATTTTGGTTAAACACATTTTCATAGCAGCAATACCTGTAATTTAATTTTTTTTTTTTTAGGAATTACATTGTAACGAATCAAGATAACTTTACAGTCAAACTAAATAGAGCTAAATTAAAGTAAATCAAACTAATTTAGAGTTTACATATAAAACATTTCCTGTACTGTACTGAAAATTAAAATCTTTCCTTTCTGCTTTCCAGCAACCAGTAGGGCTGAACAACTACAATAGTATGGCCGTGACTGTACCTGTTAACAATACAAACTATGATCCAGCCTTGATGCAGCCCTCGCCACAGATGTCTCATGCCTCTCTCTCACCACGACCTGGATCCTCAAGTGGAATGCTCGACATGAATGGCTCAAATGGCTATCCTGGTTCAACTTCGCCTTTACCACATGGAGGAGCACCATCACCTGGACTACTGCCTCGACCACATTCGTCAAAGACTCACTCTCCCACCAGACCAAATCTTCGTGTTCTCATTCCCAACTCACAAGCACAGAATGTAAGCCAAAATTTTGTACAAGGAAACTTTGCTATTTCAAGTATTTTTCCAATTTACCTTTGTAATGCAGTAAAGAACCAGGTCATCATTTGTTGTTAGTAAATGTCACAAGATTGAATTATCATTAGTTATCTATAGATAGATATAGTTCGCATTTCTAATTAAACAGGCATATTTTTTTGAGTGAAATAGTCATTTCTATTTTAAATACTATACTTTCTAACAAGGTTTCCTCTTGCATAAACAACTTCCTGAACCTGTGACCTAATTATTGTTTTATCTTAAATTACTGTTTAATAATATAATAAACAATATACTGTAAATAATATTTAATATTTAATGGTAATAATAATATCTAATAACTAGCCAAAATGTTTTGGCTAGTTATTATGATCATGTATTTAAAGGCATTTGGGGGAAACTATGTACAATATATATCTACAGTATTATTTTGTTTTGCAGGCACCACGGCCAGGGTCGCCCACACTCAACACACCAGTAGTATCACTTCAGTCGTCAAGTATGAACCCATCAATGACCTATTCTTCACTCAATTCGTTTTCACATCAAGACTTCCCACTTAATGCTGACATCTCTCTCAACCCCATAAACACACTTCACCAAGTAAGTGCTATTTCTTCTACTCAAATTTGTCTTGTTATTTTACTAATTTCAGTAATTTTCTTCATCAATGCAGCACTACTTGCAGAATGCATCCTCTTTATTTTGTTTTTTCCACCCTCACATAAATGATTACTAAAAATTTGGCCACAAACCTTGTAATATGCAATATACATTACATTTCAGAGCACTGCTTAGTAGTGGCAGCTTTTTTTTTTCTTTCTTTTTGTTTAAAGAGTTACAGTAATTTTCCCATCTTACAAAAAACCACAATTTGTAACAAATTGCTTTATATCCTGTCATTTTCATGAAGGCAAGGATTTCTAATCATTTCACCACTTTAACAATTTTGGCTGAAATTTTGTTCTTATGTGCCTTGGGACCATGCAGTGAATTGTACCATTTGTCCTGATAAAGTTTTCCATTTTGGCATAAGGACTTCTGTGAGAGTCAATGTTGATAAATGAATAATTAGAAGTGAAATTCTCCTTGTAGGCATAGTTTAGTAAGAAAGATATATATTTCTTGGGGCCAACCTCATAGCTGTTGTACCTGGTACATTTTTACCTCAAAATTGTAATATCTATTACTTGCTCATGAAGCTGTGGATGGTGATGGTTTCTAAAACCTTGTTTTCTTGCCAATTTAATTTTCTGACCACTTGCATGTTGGAAGAGATAAAGATTTAGGTTACCACTTTTTTCATACATATCCTGTTCCCTGCTTTAAATCAGATCGGGTTAGAAAATATAAAATTGATTGAGGATATTTGTGAGATGATTCCCAGGGATGTTCCTACCCAAGTGCTTTCTCCTTGATTAAACTTTTAAGGTCAACAAGTCTGCTGGCACTGGCAGCCCAGTCATGAGCAGGCATAACATGTTGATCCAACATATTTTCAAGTAACTTGTCAAGTTCCCTCTTTGGAACAATTGGTTGTCTTTTGTTATAACTTATACCTGATGATGTGCTGCCAAAATTTGAGCCTCATTGATCACATTTCCTCTTGTTGTATATATTCTACCCCTACTTTGCAATGAGGTTAATTTTTGTATTCTACAAGTATAGCAGTGTATATGCTCTTCATAATTTAAATAATTGGGTTTTGTTTCACATTTGACTATCTAGCAATTTTCTCACATGCTGTCTAAAGTTCAGATCTCCTTCATTCAGTTGTACGATTTGATTGGTTTTTGGTAGCATTCATTTTAATTTCATAAAGGTCTCTTACAAAGGAGCTTAATTTTGTTTTCATTAAATATTTTACTTTCTATGTAGTAAATTTGAAGATTTGGCTGACTTTTAAAGTTTAAAGTATCCTTGATATTTTTGTGATGATTTTAGTGTTATTTTTTTAATGTCCCAATCAGTGTCAGATATGAACAAGAAAAATAAGAAAACAAAACCTGTAATGTTTCAGATACTTTTTATTAAAAGTGTAAAATCAGGTATTGTGGGGGGCAGATCCGTTTGAGTTGTGCCATTGTATTTCTTATGAAATACGATGGCACAATCCGTATTTCTCACTGTATAATAAGAAATACGATGGCACAATATATATTTCTCATTGTATAACTTCTTAGCCAGTTTACCGTTATGGGTTAAAAGTTACAGATAAAGTTTCACTAGTTATATGTTCTTTATGTTCACTTGAGTCATAGATGAGGCATTTATTAACAAGTCTTATCATATTATGACAATGACTATTGACAAATATATAAATATTTTGTTATTACTATATTTATATAATATTTTATAAATAAAAGTAGTTAAAGGCATGTGTCAGGCAACTGTCTGCAACATTCCTCTACTGCAGTTTATTTGGCTAAAAATATAAACGACATGGAATTCACACAAGAAAACGTCAATATTTGTTATACACAGTACCTGTACTGTACTTTTACAATAACTTTTATGCAAGACATGTCTGACATACTCCTAATACAAAATACATACACTTCTTACACTTAATACAATACACTTCCACTTGACATTTTGTTTTACCTCCCATGTAATTTTTACAAAGTAAATTTCAAGAAGATAATGTGTGGAGCTGCGTAGATCTAAGCTAAAGTGTGCACTAAAATGCCACAAAAACATACACTGCTGCCATGTGTTAGTTGTAGAAAAATGCAGAGATTTTCGGTTTAGTTTGTCTTAAAAGTTCAAACTCCTCCCTCATTGTACAAATATACTTCTTTGCATGTATTTTATACACCTATACATCATGGATGTATTTGTCATGGGCTAATTTGTACTGCAAGAGCTCGGCAATCTGAATTCTAGTAACCTGAATCTTAGAATAAACCGAATGAACTCTTATTTGAGTTCTTGGCCTTTTAACCTGAATAGCAATGGAAAAGTCTTATAATATTGATGATAATTTTGTATATTTCATTAGTGTTAAAAGCTTTAATGTTTCTTTTGCAACAGTGGAACAGTGGGTCTCTGGGAATGTCACACTCTGGTCTGCCTCATCTCAGTGTCAGTTCCTCCACGCCACCCCCAGCTGCCTCACCGCCCGTTAGGATCAAGTCAGAACCCATCAGTCCTCCACGTGATCCAAACTGCATCCCTGCATCTCACTTGCAAAGACCAGCATCCACAGACCCCGGCCACTTGTCACCAGCACCACCTTCACATTTGGGTCCATCTTCCAACCATCCTGGGCACACACTTTACACCAATGCACTTTCAGGTAATGTTCTGTTATTTAGATGTATGATACGGTATTTATATTTATGGTTGTCAAATTTTTAAACTATTTCTTTACAGTACTGTACTTTTAAAAGCATGCATTTTAATACTATTATTTATACCAGGTCACTTGACTCCAACGTCACATGCCTCACCTGAAGGAGCCTCTCATCACAGTGACTATGATACCCCGTTGAGCAAACGGCCGAGAATGTCAGAAAATTGGGCCCCTAATTCGTGAGGTGCAAGAAGGGCTACCACGTGCACCAGTGAGAGGACACTCAGTGCTGCGTGATCAGTGCCTGGTGAGCTGGGGGTGCCGTCCCTTGGGTCAAGAAGCCCTCACAATTGTGCCCCCACCGCCTCTGCCTCTATGGACCACAACGGTTGTTAACTGTACAAAAAAAGACTTGGGGAGCAGTGTGTATGTCCTTTGCCGTGTGTGTGTGTGTCAGTGCCGCACTACCGTGACAGTGCCAAGAGAGGAGCTGCAGCCCTGCTCCCCGGCCTCCTGTGTTTGTGAATCACATTCCCTTACTCCCTTCTGCCAGTCTTGCTCCAGCCTGCCCACCTGCAACAGCCCTCCAGCCTCTTATAGGCACTGGTGACTGGCATATGTAAGAGGACAGTTCAATGCCTTCTCAACCATGGTAATCTGAGGGCTGTCATGACTTTCTGCCTCTTCGCAGTTTAAAATTCACAGCCCACCTGGTTAAGGGCTTGGAGAAGTCACTGCCAAGCATCTATGTATATGTGTGACCCTAGTGTCATAATCTGCATGGTTGACTTCAGGCTGCTGGCTATCTTGCCCAAGTTTTGGGTTGTTTCCTGCCTGTTGGATACATGGTAAGGATGAAGCCTACCCAATAGAAAAGGGTCACTATTAACACTACTGCATCAGTTGCAGTTTACAAGTCTGTCACCGCCACCTATGTACTTGTTAGTTCTGGCTCAATGTAAATAAGCAAAAGACATGATTATTTTTACTCTTTGTACATATTGGCCTATATGATAAGATTGCCTGGTACTTGGTGTGTGGTGGTGCTGGTGGAGGCAAGGGAGGCAAGCAGCAGTGTGGGCTACCTCCCCCACCACCCCATACTGCCGCCCTCTGTACCTCTCGTATGGTCTTTCTTTGTACCTTGTGCCTCACCTTACTGTGTAAGAAGTTGTAGCCTCTAGTAACTGTGGACAGTAGTGCGTGGCCAGTGTGCACTGCATCGTGGTGTGGTGGTGGTGGCAGACTGGAGATGGTAAATGGGTGGTGGCAGCTGTGGGCATCACTAGGCCCTGTATGTGTGCCTTGCTGGCCACCATCGTTCCTCCAGCTCCAGGTGGTCCAACAATGCTGCCACCCATCCATTCATGTGGTTACTGCCACCCACCACGGGGCTTGGCCCACAAGGAGGAGGAGCCAGCTGTACCATACCAAATACAACACTAACTGTCGATACATAAACATTTAGACTGTGTTGACTTAACGTTGTTTGTATAAATACAAAGTCTAGATTCTTAATAATTTATATGATACTGCTAATGTATAATTCTACAAGAAATGTTTATAGTTATATTTGATTATAATAAATCAAAACACCTAGTTTCTAAGCAAAGACACTAAACCCATTACCCTAAGCATATGTTGCACCTTGTTGTGGCGTGATTACCGTGTACCACAGGCCGGCGTGCTGGGGCTCAGTGGGACAGGGGGGTGTAGGGGCCCAAGCATAGCATCTTCACACCCACAAACCATGTAGTAACATGTTCCCATTAACTATTCATTATGCATATATATTTTTGTGCATTTTGAATTATTGATACCAGAAATATCTTTTGTAAAGCAAAGCAAGGTAAAAAGCATCGGTAATATTTCGTAATTTACTACTACTAAATTGACACTGTTTTGTACAAATGAGAATACTAATATTATCTGTGATGTACATAGTGCAATTCAGTGGGTCCCATTCACTGCTGTAACCTTAATATGTAAATGTTTTTCAGTGAATGGTGTGCTCATAATGAGCGATTGTAGCTGCAATCATCAAGTGGTGATCACATTTGTAACTGGTCATGTAATGATCCTTTTACTCACGGGGAAGGGCTCTGGCTTGTCAGGTATCAAGTACTTTAAATGTACAGTTTTTGTAGGCTGCCCCTCATAGATAATACAGTTTAACCGAGCACAGGGAGAATCACTGTCCATATGATCATGGTGCAAGTAAGAACAGAGTAACTATCTTACAACAGGCCAGAGCACATCTTTAAGTGGGTAAGGACAGAAGTATGACAGTGCTTTTTTAGCAGAAAAAAAGTTTGTGTGAGGCATATCCAGCTGTCCCCCTACCCCTTCCCCCCCGCCAGCAGCCCCCGTCCTCATGTTCTGACAACAAGTTACATGTTTGTGTAGAATAAGTATACTATTAATATTTTTTTGTTAGTGAAATAGAAGCATTTTGTGTGAATTTTGGCATGTTATTCAATAAAATCTGAATAACATAATATTTTGTTTTTAATCCTACTACTGGGACCATATAAACATTTTAAATTTGATAAAGGCTGAACAAGTGAACATAATTTTTTAACAAATTCTCAAGGTGGTCTAATCTTTACAAAAGTACAGCAAGAGAGAGACTAATTTGGATTTCGTCTTGCAGTTAAGCCTGAAAAATCTTTACAATACATTTACACAGTTAACTTATATATTATGACCAAACCACACAACAGAAAATGGAAAAACTAACATTTTGGTCCATCCTGGACCATATTCAAGTGTGTAATGATGATAATGGTCCATTATACGACTGGATAATGGTCCATTATACGACTGGATAATGGTCCATTATATGACTGGATAATGGTCCATTATACGACTGGATAATGGTCCATTATACGACTGGATAATGGTCCAGGATCAACTGAAACGTCGCCGTTTCTCCATTTTCTGATGTGTGGGTTGGTCATCATATCTTTAGCCATGTTCTTGTGACTCATCATCTGCAACATGTATATTTACTGCTACTAGTTTTTTGTTACAGAAAAGTGTATATAAATTATCATTACCCTTTCCTAGCTAAAAATGGAAAACAATAGTCAAAGGTAGTTTTATATAAAAAATATCATTTGGGCCATTAATTACATCACTTATGCTATGTAGCAACACAGATAAACAAGAACCAAGAAGCACCAGCAATTATCCACAGCAGACCCCACTGCTACTCAAGACCTGATGTACAGTGCTTCTCATGAATTGTCCTATACAGTTCATTCACTCAGTTCATTGTTTACACTCACTATGTCTGATTATCTGCATGTCCTTTCTCTTCTCTTCCTACTCTGAAATCCATTTAAATACACTCTTGACCATTCTACCATCACCCATTCATTCAACATGCCCAAACCATCTTGCAGCTTATCAACTTTTGTGCTGTGTATCTCTCCGTGACATTTCATTCCTTACTCAAGTACCTCAACACACCACACATAATTGTTCAGTGATTAGTCTGAAATATGTATTGTGTAAATGTGTGAACTTTATACAGTAGCACCTCCAAAATACGACTCATATTTTGTTTCACCCTTACCATATTCAAATGTGATGATGATAATGGTCCATTATACGACTGGATAATGGTCCAGGATCAACTGAAACGTCGCCGTTTCTTCATTTTCTATCCTATCTACCTATTCTACCCTATCTCGATTTCCGGAAAGTTGCCCCTTTTGGTCGTCACCAATTTTTCCTGATTTTTCATATAGCAAGTGATAAATGTTGATATTAAAAAATACAGATAGCGAAATAATGTTTTGAGCCTATAAAATAATAATTATACGAGAAAAAATATTAATTTGGTCACTTACCTTTTTTTTTGTAGTGTACTGGTTGATTTTTATAAGAGGCAATAAAACGAAGTTAGAGCACAATATCATATCTGCTAAACTTCTGTAGTCACCCTGGGTGCCTGACAGCTGGGTGGACAGCGCTTTGGATTCGTAGTCCTGAGGTTCCAGGTTCGATCCCCGGTGGAGGCGGAGACAAATGGGCAAAATGTTTCTTTCACCCTGATGCTCCTGTTACCTAGCAGTAAATAGGTCCCTGGGAGTTAGACAGCTGCTACGGGCTGCTTCCCGGGGGCGGGGACAAAAAGGAAGCCTGGTCGAGGACCGGGCCGTGGGGACGCTAAGCCCTGCCCTGAAATCATCTCAAGATACCCTGAATTGGTTTCGAAGACATCAATGACCTCAGTTTATGTCATTCTCTCAGCTACAGACTAACTGTTCACTACCACTGCCCAGCTTCAGACTAGTGCTGTGTAAATCATTTGTAAACAGCATAATCTAAATCCTCCTTTAAAGTTTTCAATACTTTTGTCACTTCTCTTTTCACGCTGCTCTCCATTTTATTAATTTCCGTTGTTTTTATTATGTATGAGCATTAGAACCAATGTTATACTCCACTGCCAGGTGCTGTAAAAACTTAAAATTTCAAGAAATAAATTGAAATACACACACAATACCAAACAATATGATGAGACTACTGTACAATACTGACAATACATTGCACAATTTAAATAGTGAAATTACCATAGAATAAATATATTGTAACATTAAGTCAATAAATTACAAGTAACATACAGTATTGCACTAAACTTAAGATATCACACAGAAATCACAATAGCGTGATATATCAAATGAACAAATCCACAAGGGCCGTGATGAAGGTTCTAACCCCGTACATAGGTTTGAACCCTCATCACGACCTTTGTGGATTTGTTCAAAGACAAAATATGAGTATAAGTATAAATATGAGTTCTATGTTAATAGATTCAAGGAATAGCCTAGAATAGAATAAAGCTGAACCCAGCTCATGTAACAGGGATTAACACTGACTTCAACAACATTGAGACTTTGTCATCAAACCATCATTTTTTTTTTTGACAGTACAGTATAGTACTGTAATTCATTACAAATATAATGTATCCTGCTGGAGACTATCCCTGGTGACAATGATATCCTGAGATAAACTATGGTAGGTTGCTCTTATGCACCTATAAAAATTAAATGGCAAGAGAGAGATACTGTATAAGTACTGCAAATTTGTAATTTAAACATGATTAAAGAAGACGGCAATAAAAAGGAAAGATACACCATATTAAATGTAAAAGAAACATGTGTCAAGGAAAAGGAAGCAGGAAAATCAAGCTTTGAATGTAATCAAATATCACTTTCTGGTGGGCCTCTAGTACCTTTCTGAACTTAGCTCTAGTACCACTAAGCTTCAAACCCAAACACACCAGGATCTCGACACCAATCCGTTGCCGACTGAAGCCAGGATTAGAATCTGGCTATGAGAAGGAAGTAGGGAAGATGAGATCAACCACAAAATGGGAGAAAATGCATGATAGTGCAGAGGTGTAGTAAAACAAACACTACAAGAAGGAAAACATGTAGTCCTAGGAAAATAAGGCAAATGATAATTTTCGCACTGTAAATATTTTAACGTGATGCACCCAACCACCATCAGGTGTGAGCTCTGGTCACCTGTGGTCACAATTAGTCCACCCTTCACTCTTCTGCCTGGTGTAGCCCATCCAAAACCTACAGCCTCTACCGAGCTCATCAACTTTCTGCTTTCAGCTAAGTAATTGTATGTCATAACACTCTCTTTCACCCTGACCATGGCTAGGTTTTCTTTTCCCGGAGTTCGTTTGCATTTCCCTATACCTTACCAGACACACCTGCTCTGAGGGGTTGTAGCCTCAATTGTATCACTTCACTTCCCAGCAGCGCACGAAATTTTTTTGTCCCTTGTGGGCCAGTAAAAAATACTACCGTACTTCCTTCTATTTAGTTTAGCCAGATTACTCATGGTAATTTTTTTTACTCTCAAATTAAGCAGTAGCCACAAACAAATTAATGAAAATCCCTAAAGTAAAGAAGGTTGACCACACCAGAAAATAAATAAATAAATAAATAAATAAAAATATATATATATATATATATATATATATATATATATATATATATATATATATATATACAATATATATATTTATATATTTATTTTGCTAGATGATGTCCACACTGTGTGACTAGACTGAGCCAACCACAGAAAACAACAAAATCTATTTACTACAGCATTTAATTTTTAACACAGTTTAGGTACAGTAAATAATTTATAAAATCACAATTACAGTTTTCAAGTAAGATTCATTACTATAGGGGAAAAAAAATAGCAAATATGCTTTAAAAAAATATGGTTGGTGAGTGTCGTTGCCAAGTGGGTCGTGATTTGTCTGTATACACTCATATAAAGCGTGGAAGATGATTTGGAGATCCAAGTTACTGGAGTTTTTTTATGATGCATGTAAAAATAATGAACAAATTCATTTGTTATTACCACAAAACTTTATTCTTACTTCCATAAAAAATATACATTTACTGTATAGTTATAGCAGCAGCTTCACAAATAAAACAAGAGCTACAATAACACATTTAAATTTACTGTACTTTAATGGTGCTAACAGCAAGTCTTGATTACCCACAAAATGGGATACTACATAAATGGGATTCTAGTTCTATACGCATTGTAACTGCTGCTCTTTTACATGTAGTTTACTCAAAATTAGTTCTTTAATCAAAGAACAAATTTCAGTAAAGAAAATCCTCTGGGAAGGGAGTGTCCCCTTGATGTATATAACACAAGGGGCTTGGACCATATGGTTAGTTCGCAGGGACGGGACACATCCAATTAATTTAGCAGGTACAGTATTTCGAAACATCAATAATGGTTTGTTGTAATACTTGATATATCTGTATTCTGATATACTTGATATATCTGTATTCTGATATACTTGATATATCTGTATATATTTTATGTTAGTTAAGCAATTTTTACTGTATGTGTATTTGTAAACAAAGGCTACGTCACTCCGTTCATCAACTGGGATTTTCAAGGTCACGCTACATCCTGGTGTGATAAGCTGGAGGAAGCTACTGAAGAGTTTCAACCCACATAGTAAATACAGCGCAAAAATATTATAAGAGGTGCAGATGATTCAGACAAACAACCACTTCAGCAATGGAACGTGAAAAACCAGAATGGGAATTATATTTATTGATTGAAACACAACTAGTGCCAAATGAGCATCAATGTTAATAAGGCTGGAAATCTGTATTGCATTGTGTTCACTTTCATCTCATAAAACTGTCAGCCTTATACAATTATTTTGGTTAAACTCACCATTTTAAAATTCAAGCCCTATTCTGATTTTGTTGTGCTATCATTTTAAGGATTTCTTCCTCTTCATCTTCTGCATTCTCCATGAATTCATCACGGGCAGCACCAATGCGATCATGTTCCCACTCTGCTCCCACTGCACAAGATAATAAACGCTGAATGTTCCTTTCCTCTCCCGATCCATAAACATACCCATTTGCTTTATCAACAGCCTGAAAAAAAAAGTTCATACTTAAAACAAAATGTGTGACTAACACGCTGC